AGAATATGGTTTTCATGAGCACTGAAGGTTGCATAATGTGGAGGCTCCTTTAAGGAAAAACATAAAATAATTCTACAAAAAAAACCATCACGCAGAAGCACTTTATCAAGGCCACTCTCAGCACTAGAGGTAAGGGCCCTGCAGCATGTGCTTCATGACTTCCTTTGCATCAGAGTGATTCTCAGATCGCTGTGCTGAGGACTGAGCTGTGGAGATCAGAGGCAGGCAGAAGAGGCTTCTTCTCAGAGAACCCTAAGCTCCTACCCCTCCCTATCCTGAGCACAGCCCTGTTCTAGGGGGCAAGAAGTGCAGGGACAAAATTCATAGTTACAGGGCCTGCAAACCCCATCTCCTCACAGCCCCTGCTGCTTTAGTCTCTCAGGGGAGACACAGATTTCTGCCCAGGCTCTGGGCCTGGCTCAGCCCCGAGCTAAATAAATCTCTACGGGTCCCTGGAGCAGTCTTCTTCACTGTGTGCACAGCCCCTTCCTTTCTGCCCTCTGCCCTGTGAATTCCAGCTGCTTTGGCCTCCCTTCCTCCTTAACTTTGTTTTCTCAATCCAGGGAGGCCAGTGGCTCTGCTTGGGGTCCCCTCCCTGCACTGTGATCTTCACAGTCTCTCCAGACTAGAAGTTGGGAGACTTGGTGCATGTCTCTCAGGGATCTCTGTCTGGAGCTGCCTGGTGTCCAGGGTCTGAAGACCACTGGTTCTTTTGTTGTGTCTGCTTTGTGTTTGTTTGTGTGGGATTTCTTGGGAGAAGAACTTAGCGACTCAGCTCGTATTGCTCTGTTTTGGCCAGTAAGACTTCACCCATCTTCAGGAAATCGTCAGCCAGATGTAAGACTTAGGAACCGGAGGTTGCACATCAGTCGTTTGAATGAAAATGGTGTTGCACCAAAAAGCAGCTAGTTTAGCTGGTAACTTAATCACAAGAGGATTTTGTTTTTCTCAAGATGATTGACTGTTGTGGCCCAGTTTGCAGCAGGAATTCTTTATGTGCCCTTTTTCATCATACAGAGTTGCAAAAGACTCATATTTGGGGGCTGAGATTTCATGTAGCTAATAATTTTACCATTTCTGCAAGGCCATTCTTAACTGAAATGGCCTTTTCCTCCTCCTCCTCCTCCTCCTCCTCCTCCT